GCAGTCTGTAAACACCAAACTGAAATAAAACGAGGATAAACAAAGTTGAAATGTATTTTAATATTTGTCAATTTTTTATTATCGAGAGTAACAGTTCAAAATTATTGAGAATTAATTGTATTTCTGTATATGAAAATAAAAAAAACAATAGAATTCTATATTTTTACAGTGATCTAAATGGTTCTATTTTGTTTTTCGTTTCTGTTCTATTCTTTGCATTTTTTTTTTTTTTGGTTCATGTCATCTTTATTGTATTTCTGTATATTAAAATAGAAAAAAAAACAGAATTTTATATTTTTACAGTGATCAAAAGTGTTCTATTTTGTTTTTTGTTTTGTTCCACTCTTTGTATTTTTTTTTTTTGTTACGTATCATTTTTATTTTATTTTAGAATTTATTATATTTCTACATATCAAAATAACAAAAAATAAAAATATAATTTTATACTTTTACGATGATCAAAATTGTTCTATTTTGTTTTTTATTTTGTTCTATTCGTTGTATTTCTTTTCGTTTCATATCATCTTATAGAATTTGACGAGTGTTTTTATTTTCTACACGTACCACTAGGTTTCTATTCAATCTTTCAATGTTGTAAATGCGACACTAGAAAAATATACAGTACTAAGGTAAGAAACATTGTAATAAATTATATGCACATTTTTGTGTGTCTACTACAAAGTGCATACAAACGAAAATAAACGATGACGTGAAAAGAAAGAGGTAGAGAAAGAGACCTGTTTCTCTTTTATTCGAAAATCGTTGGTAATACAGGACAAAGTTATGTAGTTGAAAGTTGCTCACGAAACTGTCGTGAAATATACGGTGATTGAAACTCACCAATGGGGAAGAGGAAATGGGGGTAGAAGCATCAGTCGTTTACCACCGAATGCCGATTGTTGTTGGGCCGTTCGTTGAACTACGATTTCGTATCGTTCGGTAGACGTTAATGGCGTACGGATGAACAGGTGAATCTAATCGAAAACGAATTGACGGTTTGTTTCTCTTTTTTACGATCAACACTTTTATTTTGTTTCTTTTTTTTTCAGATAAGCTCGTTCGCGTTAGTTGTCATATCTCGTGAATTAAAACCAATGGATAATAAGGGTTGTATACAATTTTTTTTTTTATGAACAATAAACATATATATATATATATATAAAAATATATATGATGAAAGAAGAACGATTATGCGTGGCTTTTCATAGAAGAATTTTTACGAGGTGCTTCGAAATACGAGTACGTCGTAAACTATGTCAATGAAAAATTTTTGTCGACCAATCAATAATCTCGAATCGTTCGATTTCTTGTCACTTATTTCTTTTTTTTTCTGCGGACGAGTAATAAAATGATTTTATAGAAACCACCCCTGATGTTATTTGATCCAGTCAAATTTGATGTTAGCGTACTCGTTGCGATATTATTATTGTTATCATTATAATTATCGTTATAATAGGAGCTTTGTTTACTCATTCAACAGATGGTACTCTTGGAAAATAATTATCGTGATAGCTTTAGGATTTATCTTTGTATCTAATTCTCTTTTATTTCCTTCCCGTTATTTCTCTTAAATTATTTCCCAACGCGGAAGGAGTGGGATGATTTAACTGACTAGAGTTTTGGAATAAGCGTTTTCATTAACGACCGATCACCTCGAGTTAGTAGCAGCTATTCGGAAATAATTCAACGCTTCAACTCTTGGAACTCGATGATTCGTAGTTAACGGCGAATTTCCGAATTCGGTGGTTTCGACTAATGGCAGACCGCAACGGCAAGAGTAGCAACAGTAGTAGTAGTAATAGTAATGGTAGTAGTAGTAATAACAATAGCAACTTTTCGTGGTCTCTTTTGTAAATTGACTACCTCGAAGAATTTTCTCATATATTTTTGTTAACTAATTGTAAGAAAAAAAAAAAATTAAAAATTAAAAAATAGCATTCCGAAATTTCTCTTTTGTACAATGAATGATACGTTGACTTTACGATGAATGAAACTAAGAAAAAAAAATAATTAAAAAATAGCAAATACCAAAATAACATTCCGAAATTTTTAGTTCGCACAGTGATAAAACTAAGAAGAAAAAAGAAAATTTTTAAAATAGCAAATATACCAATTTTCCAAAATTCCAAAATTTCTCTTTCGCGTAATAAATGAAACTAAGAAACAAAAAAAATTAGGAAAAAAACAAATATCAAATTAACAATCCAAAATTTTTCTTTTCTACAATGAATGAAACGTTTACTTTACGATGATAAATCTCATAAAAAATATCCACCCTCCCCAAAAAAAAAACTCCCAAAAAAATCTTATCCTATTTCTCCATTTCGAACAAAAGCAGAGATCAAGTAAAATAAAAAGAAGGAAAAAAAAGAGCAGATAAAAAGAATGAAAGAGAGAAAGAACGAAATGTAAGATGAACCCTGACATTGACACGTCACTCTTGAGAATACAATAGATTCCACCCTCTACTTTCTTTGACACCTTCGAGAAGATCAACTTGACCTTTTTTTTTTTGCTTTCTCAGTGGCTAACATAAGTTAAGCAGCACCAGTTCTACCAACAGTAACAGAAAGAAAGATAGAAAGAGATAGATCAAAGCAACACAACTGTAACAAACGGAAACGCTTTTTAATTTCTTTCTTTCTCTCTCTCTCTCTCTCTCTCTCTCTCTCCCTCTCTCTCTCTTTCTCTAACTTTGACAGTGTTTTTCTTTAACGAACGTTATACACTGACACAAGAACCACGACGAATATGACGACTATGACGATGAGGAGAATAAAGGAGGATGCTAGTCGATTCTCGTCGACCATTACTACTTACAACCCCCCATCCTTTTCAACTCCGTTATTTCTTCCAAGAGCTTCTTTTTTAACCCCCTTAAAACTTTCCCTTTTTATCATTTTTCTTCTTCCTTTTTCTTCTTCTATTTTTTTTTTTCTAATTCTTTTTATTTTTATTTTTTTTTTACCCACTTCTCTTCGCCAACTTTTCTATTCATTATTTCTAACATTGCATTGATATTTTTGCCTCTTTTTTTTTTCTTTTTGTTTTTCTTTCCCCATTCGCAACATTTTTTTTTAGGTTCATTTGTATCGCCCTATGTTCTTTTTCGATTTTTTGTTCTTTTTTTATCTTTATTTTATTTTCTTTGTCCTTTGATGTAATTCTTTTCAAAAGTTTGTTACAAAATTACGAGTCTTATCGCTTTGTATTATAATTCATATATTTATTATTTAATTTTATTATAAATTTAATATTTAATTTTATACAAATCTATAAATATAATTATAAAGATAAAGAAAAAAAAGTTAATATATTTTTTGTATATTTATATATAATATATAATAAATGTATATATTATATACCGCATAGTATATATTATATATAAAAATATATAATATATATATAAATATACAATATAAAATCCGAGCTGAAGCTACGAAAGCGTGAGAATGGCTATCTATTGAGCATTGCTATTATTCTTGCATTGAAAAAAGTTGTCGTGTCGGACAAAGAAGCCGCGTTTTTGTGCCCATAAGGCGTTGAGTAGAAGGGGTTGGGGGGACAAGGTACTTTTTTACCCGTTCAGAATCGGCTGGAACGGGTTTGGTCAGACAGACAGACAGACAGACAGGCAGACAGACAGAGATAGTAGGAAAAAGAAAGAATAATTCGATACGTTGGACTTTTGAAAGTGACTAACTCCTTCCTTTTACTAAAAACTGTACTAACTCTTAAAAAAAAAAAAAAAAAATACTAGACATCTTAGTGCAGAATAAAATAATCCTTTAACGTAAAGTGTAACGTTATGTTAATAGTAATTACCATATTGTAAGAAATTTCAACTTATGTTGTAGATTTGAATGATTTAAAGGTAGCTTACAACGCGTAACATTATATTACTTTATATACTTTAATTGTAATAGGTGGGCTAGTAAATTTAACGAATTTCAAGAAACACAAAGGTAAATTTTGCGTGAACAAATGAACTTTACTTTGTTAGAAACTTTTAAAACTCATATGAGAACAAAATAAGCAAGTACAAAAGTAGTTACACGTATGCTACAAATGTATTCTGAAACCTTTTTCTATTTTTTGTTTTTTGTTTATTTGAAGAAACGTATTAGAATTCAACGCAGGCGTGTGTGAACAAATTTTGTCTAAAAATATTATTATTATTTGTTAGAAACTATTAAAAATCGAATGAGAATAAGGTAAGCAAGTATAAAAGTAGTTACACGTATGTTACAAATTTATTCCAAAATCTTTTTCTATTTTTCTTTTTTTGTTTATTTAAAAACACGTACTAGAGTTCAATGTACGCGTGTATGAACAAATTTTTGTCTAAAAAATATTATTATTATTATTTTAATGAATAAAATTTATCAAAAGTAAATTCGATATTCTTTAATAGTAACTATGTGGAAAAACTGATATACACTTCGTATACGAAAATAGAATAGAAGAGAGAGAGAGAGAGAGAGAGAGAGAGAGAGAGAGAGAGAATTTCCCTTCTCGAAATTGTTCAGAGAAACTTGAAATTGAAGTTTGTGTGGTTCGATAGGGGGAAGTTTTAATCGAAGCAACGACGAGGAAGGCACTTTCGATAGTCCTCCGTTCGGCCGACTTTCCGTCTTTCTGTATCGACCTTTGAAAGGGGCCACATAGAGTTAGGTAGATAGATAGATAGATAGATAGTTAGATAGATAGATAAAAATAGAGAGAGAGAGATAGAGAGAGATAAAGAGTGAACAAGAGGGAAATTTAATGGGATATAAAATAGGATGAAATTAAAGGATTTATTTTTATTATTATTCGTAGGATTTATATTTTGTTTTTTGTTTTTAGGATTAATTATGACATGTGAAAGAAAGAGATAGATAGATAGATAGAGAGAGAGAGAGAGAGACAGAGTTAAATCGGTGCTGTTTAAAATTGTTTTCGGTTTTTCATTTTGAGGATTATGTTTTAGTGTTTAGTGGAGACAGTAGTGTGTGTACCTGGTTGCCGTCGTAGGTCCAGGATCCGAACTTCATGTCACAGTGTTGGTCGTCAAAGGGGAACCAAGTGATGTCTATCTTGCATGTGCTCTTGAAGATGCCCGGTGGGACGTACAGGCAACTGCCGTTATGCGCGACCACCACGTTTGTTTGGTACGTCCCGTCGAAACCCTCATCCGCGCTAACGTTTCATATGTGTATATTTAGCATATATATATATATATATATATTTTTTTTTTTTTTCATTAATTAATTGTGGATGAATCTCTTCAGATACCAAATATGTTTTTTTTTTTTAAAAAAAAGAAAACAATATAAGTATTTTTTTCTTCTTTTTTCAAAGTTATTTTGTTCAATTAGTATTTATTATATATTTGGTTGTTGGTTTATTTGTTTGTTTGTTTGTTTGTTTGTTTAGATAAGTTTTTAAGTAATTCGATTTTTTTTTTTACGCGAGTGGTTCTTCGTTTTATTTATTTATTTATTTAATTATTTTATTTATTTAGGTAAGATCGAGAGTCGAATAAATATAACTGCAACGTGTTTTGTTTTTTATTTTTTTTTGTGTTTGTACTTTAAACGATTGAGATCCTGTGTATGATGGTCCTTTGTAAATTTTACGTTTTATCTTTTTCCATTATTATTTTCATTTTTATCAATAATTTTCTAATATTTATAGATTAAAGATAATAAAAAAAAGATGAAAACACGAAACCGTAAGTTGAATAAGTTAGAATATATAAATCTTTTTGTGAACGTCTCATACGTGTGCATAAAAAGAAACATATATCTTTACACGTGTTATAATCTTGAGAAAAAATATATATAAATATAAATGTAGATCTTATTTCTAACGAGATACATATCGAACATGTTCACATAAATAAAGTGAACGAACGAACGAACGGGTTCCGCGTTATCTCTGTTTTAATCCGTGAAAGAATAATTCAGATTGCTCGTTTAAACGGTATTAAAAGATAAAGGTAGGATATTTTGCGCTAGCGCACGTGAGAGTTTCTAGGATTTAAATTATTTTGAAAGAGAAATAAAAAAAAAATAAAAAAAAAAATAAAATAAAAAAATACACCAAAAACAAAAGAACGAAAAGAAGATTTCGAATACAAAGAAACAGTAAGTTTAATTTTATATATAATGTATATATATTTAAAAATGTTTCAAGGTAGAATTTATTATTTTTTTTTTATTTCTTTCTATTTGTTAAATATTTTTCCATGAAAAGTTTGAAAAAAAAGAAAACTATTGTTTTACAGTTTTTAATATCGAGAAATAAAATAATAATAATAATAATAATAATTAAAATAATAGATATATAATTAAAATAATATATTTACTATTTAAATAATTAATATAATTAAAATAATAAATCGAGAATATAAAGGTGTAATAATTATTTTTTTTTTAAATAAATTTGAATAAAATAAATAAAATTAAATTTCTGAATTTATACATTTTGTATCAAAAAAACTTGACTAATGAGAGTTTTTAGTTGAAAATAATTCGACTATCATCTCAAACTATATATCTCGTGTTACTGTTATTCCTGAATTTTTTTTTTTTTCTTTCAAAATGAAAGCAAGAAAACACGATGCAACGATGATGACGACGAGAACAAATACAACAGCTACGACGATGAGGACCATTCGAATCTTTGTATGTGATATTATAGAAATGGTGCTCGAGATAAGAAACACACTTCGCGGCATACTTTCCATTTGAACGCGAGCAATACTTGATTTTTTTTCTTCTCTTTTTTCCTTTTCTAATTTTTTTTTGTTTTCTTTTTTTTTTTTTTACCTTTGCAAGCATCAAAGTAAAGTACTCGTGTATTTACCTATCTATACTCGTTTCACAAGTACCCAGTGAAATAATACCAAGTACTTGATTCATTTATGCTAATTTTTTTCAATGAGCTTTATTATCAAAGAAAACAAATGGTCTTGAGAATTTCTTTAGAAATACAATCGATACCTCTCCCGGGGGATAATTATTAATTAAAATTTATTTTATTCTTATTCGCACACACAACAAGGATTGTTTGAAAAGTTTTGTAAACTTTATATAAAAAGAATCATTTATTTTATTAACAACAAAACAACAAACCTTCAAAAATTCGTTTCTATTTTCAGTTGAAAGATTTTTTAATCCATTCAGATATAATACTTGGTTTTATTTTATTTATAATAAAACTTTATTCTATAATTTTTATAGAATATATTTAAAAAATAAATATAAATAACATAATATATAATATTATTATAATATTATTCTAATAAATATATAATTTATATAAAACAAATATATATAAAACACCAAATATATAATTATATTAATATTATTTTTATAAATATATAATTAATATAAAACAAATATAAAACACCTAACACATATTATAATTATATTAATATTTTATTAATAAAAATATAATTATATTAGGTGTTTTATATCTGTTTTTGTTTTGTTTTGTTAATTCGTTTACTCATTAACTAATTATTTTTTATTATTATAATATAAAATTGATCGATTTAATTGCACCATTTAAAAATAAAAATCTAAATTATTTATTCGTGGTAAAAAAAAAAAAAGGTTAAATATCAAAGGACCATTGAGATGCAATCGTTTATTCAATATTCGAGTATTTATGAAATAAAAGCCAAAAAAAAAAAGAAAAGCTCTAACAGTGTGTAAGTATAGTATGATCGATTTTCGAAGCTTTAAAAGCTTCCAATCTCACGAGAAAGAAAGAAAGAATGAAAAAGAATCTAAACAAATAGAAAATTCTTTTAATATTCTTCCCTCAATCTTACCAGTTTCGTGCGTTCCTTCGAATAAATTGTTATAACAATAGATTATAATTTGTTTAAGTACCGAAATACGATTTCAAAATAGTATTTATTTAAACGTTTTGAAAAATTGATATTTTTTTAAAGAAATTATATTTACAATTTTACGAGATTGATCATTTTAAATGCCGGAATGTATTTTTTAATTGTTTGTTTGTTAAAAACATGAAATTAGACCGATTATCGTTTAAACTGTATTGACATTAACAATTTCGTTCGTACATACGTTTATTCGTTTGATTCATTCATATTAATAATATTATTTTACAACTATGTATAAATACCATAACTATAGTTGTGTGCATTTCCAGCGTATTGCAGCGTATTCCATCGTAATTAAATACACTAATCTATTAGTGATATGAGATTATAATAATATTAGTTATATTATCATAAAAAGAAAAAGAGAGAAAAAGAGAGAGAGAGAGAGAGAGAATACCTAATTGACAAGTAATTAACTCTAACCCATGAATGAAAAAATAGGATTTGATCTACCTGTCAAAATACCTTGAATTTTATTATGGTTTTATATTTGAATCTTATAAATCTCATAACTTATAATTGCATTTAATGGTTCGTACCTTTCATAAAATTTGATTGAATGTAAAGATATGTATGCATATGCACGTATATCACCATAATAATGTTTGTCATAGTAAACTTGTCACTTATTTGTCATCCACGGTATAACGAAATGTATAATTATTATACATTAAATTTAGAATTAATTCAATTTAAAATAAATTTGTACAATTTTCACATAATATCCATCATTTAAACAACAAAATAGAAATCATTACGTGTGTATTTTCGAAGATAAATTAAAAAAAAAGAAAAAAGAAATTTTAAAAATAAATTAATCAAAATTCTTATATTATTATACTTTTGTTATAAAAGAAATTTCTTTGGAGTAACATAAAAAAAAATTATAACAATTTTTTAAAACGTTTATTTTATCTCGTTGAAAAGTTGTTTCCACAAACACGATCAGATTTATTGATCTATAAGAGATAATGAACAGTTATGTAGATATCTGTGTATATGTGGTTAGGTACTAGAATGCATTACGATATAGTACAGATAAAGAGAGAGAGAGAGAGAGAGGGGGAGGGAAATCTCGATGGTTCACATATTATCGACAGAAACGGCAAATCAATTCGCGTTAACGAGCCTCTCGCAGAAATTTAATGACTGTAAATGTAATACATTGATTAATCTATCCCAGATGGGATATTGAAATGTGAGAGTTAATTATGACTTATGGTGTGAAAGACCATCATTGTGTCTGATATCGTTCATCTTTATTCCTTCATTATTTTATTTGTATATATATATCTATATATTATATGTAATATTTGTATATTATATATTATATTAATTATTTATTTTAATTATATTATATTTATATACAATTTAATATATATTAATTTAAATATTAATTAAAAAATTATAATATATATTATAATATAATATATATATTATTAATAATAAAATAATATATAATTGAAAGATATATTAAATTAATATTAATAGATATTAATAATAAATATTATATTAAATATTATATTAATATAATATAATTATATTTAATTATATAATATTAAATCATCTACATATTTGCATACTTTTTAACAATTCGTTGAAGATTAGAAAAAAAAAATTTTTTTGTGCGATTTTATTTATTGAATTTAATCGAATAATAGAATGGGTTACTTTTATTAAGAATAAAAGAATGATATTTATATATATAGATATATATATAATAATAAATGTTTAATTTGATTTCTGATTTTCTATCGAATGAAATGACACACAACATTGGTAAATGCAGAATATTCAGTGAATGATAAACAAGAGTATAGCAATGTTCTCGATTGGTGAAGGACTATTCACTGTAGATGGACAACCAATGATAATAGTAACCATCATTATAGATAACTAATAGTAATCATGTATTACGAGTCCAATTGATAGTCGTATGATATCGATAATTGTCGATGGGTCTTGTACTGAGTTAGTGACACGTTATATTGTTTATATGTAATGCTTATAAATCGATATATCTTGTCCATTAACAACAAATATCTTGTTTTACATATACAAATTTATATTCCTTTTAAAATAACAAAAGAAACATTCCGTTAAAATAACATAAACATAAATATATATATATAAATTCTGTATTTGTATTTAAATTAATTTTAATATTTAATATTTTGTGTAGCAAACATAACTTCATTTATAATATAACAAAATTATATATATTATATATATATATATTAGTATGCTAATAAATTTTAATATTAATAATTTTAATATT